ATCGTTCAAGGTTGCGGGTATCTGCCGGAAGACCCTTCTGAACCATGGAACCGCCGACATAGTCGCTTGAACTATATCATAGCTCCTACACGCCAGGCATAGTAATTGTGCTATTCCGACTAGACCAATCGCGGTGGCATAAGACCTATGTCATCCGAGGGCTGGCATTTCCTATCTGGGGAGGCCTGTTATGCCCGGAAAAGAACAGGTGCAGGGCTGTGGATGTTGAGGAAACTACCATGATCCCAGTCCTTTCCCCACCAAAAAACGACTTCTAGTAGTAGTACTAGAACTGTCATTATCGACGAGTCGTTTTGCCGGGTTTATCTTGTCAATCCGTGATTCCGTTGGCACTACGACGAAGTACTAATCAGCCACGCCCACATTTTCTCAAATCGGCCCCGATCGTAAACTCGCCGATTGGATTGTTTCGCGTCTAGCTGGGTAGATATTCCTCTGGCCATCGCATTCTGCATCTCTCTCCATGAGGCGTACGCCATGTGTTTGGCGCCACGCCTTGGAAGCCTAAGTAATTGACTTTGGAGACTTCGTGTTTCAAAACAGAGATGAAGAGACCCTACTGGTTGTAATTGGTAGGAACATTCATCCAACCAGTCCGGGCCCGATGGATCCTCCAATGACTCGCGTGGGCGGAAGACCATCTGCAGCTGTTCGTTAGTCCCGAACCTATTTTTCTCAGGGGATCCCTGTCCCAGGCTGATGAGTGGCCGAGATGTCAACATGGTTTTCCGGGATGTGGACCCATTGCTGCAGCCATCATACAGCAGTTGACTTACTTACAGGCTGGGCACGGCCTACCCACTCTCTCGTCGCACAGTGGAGTCCTCCTGCTCACCTGGACTGGTCAGAATCATCCTGATGGATTCGTTCCCAAGACCTTCTCGACGAATGAGAGCCCAATCATGCCAATCGGGTGGGAAATCGTGTAGGGATGACCCAGGTAACTGGATGCACGGTGGAAGTTGCTGATCATGAATATCACACTTTGCCTATTTGGTTCGCACTGTACGGTGCCCGAAATGGACACTGGCCATCTATGGAGTAAGTACAGAATGATTGCCGCCGGATTATGACCGACCGATCAGAGGGGACTTGCATGCTTTTACCTGTCTCTCATCATGATCAATCATCACCACCACCATCACCAACATCTACAGTAAGTGTGCAGTTATGTAGGTAGTACTCAACGTCAAACCCCCACACGCATGCCCCGATCATGTCCTGACCATCAGAAACAGCAGGGATGTTCGATCTGAGGCATCCGCGCGGCGTCTGGAACAAACTACTGCCTCATCATCTGATTTATCTCGCAACGAGCACCATTCCCAACCCCCCCGATCTATTGCCGGCCTCGTCAATCTCCTCCACCCTTACTAATAACCACACGCGTAAGCAATCTAACACACACACACACACTTACACTTGTGTACGGAGTACACCCTTAGGTATATCCGGTTTTCTCAAATCAGATCAACCGCGTAAAATTCGCTGGGAAAAATATCCCCAGCGACGAGATTCGCGCAACCCCTCCGATCGCGATGCCCACACATTACTGGCGCAGCACTAACGACGGATCCGATTGACAGATGCGCCAATCTACGCAGGGATTTCAAAAGATAATTAGTTCATCGGTCGTCCCGTCCGCTTGCTGCCTCGCTCGCTTTTGTTCGGAGCTACGCACTAGATAGTCTACGTATTTAAGGACAACGACCACTCATTGTGCACGTCAACAATTAAATCCCGAGTTTAGTCAAGGAAGAGGAGGAGCTGAAACTTGACCGACTATTTGTCGAGGGGCGCGGTTGCTCTCGGATAATGAATCCGCAGGGGCCAATCCCCCGCCATGAGCCATTCTATGATTCAATCGTCGCGGTTGGAAAGTACCTACGGAGTACTAGACCTTTTGTGCCAGGTGCTCAAATTCGCGATAATGAACAATCTCGCTTGATGAAATCAGGAATAATTCTTGAATATTGGTCAATCGCTAAATGCTTACTCGTACTTTCTGACCTAGCTATCTAGGGTGTACCGTGTTTTGAAGAATTCTCACTATCCTATCAATTTGACGCAATATGTTTGTCCTGGAGTAGTACTCAAACACCGATCATTCAAACACCGCAAAATCCAGAAGAAGATACTACTGTATACATCCGGCAGGTACGGAGGACCACTTCGGCCGACAGTTCCATCTCCCAATTGATCCGTTTCAGATAACCCCCTCTTGGCCATCCGTACCTTTTCTCCATTTCGAGCGACAATCACACCCACCAGCAGGGGTGAGATAGGTTGTGGGTGTGGACACAGACAAACGAATGGAGCGGATCATGTTCCTTGAGGCGAGACAAGAACAACTTACACTAAGGAGACAGAAGACAGGGTTCTCTGGGATCCACAGGGTTCATTTCCTGGAACCCAAAGTCCTATGCAGCAAACTAACACCGGGGTTCCTGGTTCGTACCTTAGATAAGTGGCCGGGAAGGAAGAATTGACCGACAGTTAGAAGGATGGGATGATTTGTTTTGTGCGTGCTGCAGCAAAATGATGATTGTGGCTGGCGGGCGCGGGTTCTGGGTATGGGGTGTATCCCGGAATACTACTATGATGACTACACTTCGTCGGTGGATGCTTATAATAGCGAGTATTATTGTGGTGTACCTAACATGGTTACTATAATATTATTATCCATCTAGTTAATTTCCCTTCCTTCGTGCTAACTAACTAAGTGCTGATGGATGATGAGGGCCTCGCTGGGCACGGAGATATTGCTTGCTTGGGCAATTGGCATCCGGGTCAGGGGAATTCGGGGAGATCTGCAACGAGCCAAATGATGATGCTGATGAGGAGGAGGATAATTGGCGATCAGTTGAAGGTTACTACCTAGTTAGTTAGTTAACCAACTATTCAGTTAGTCAGTTACTGTCAGTCAATCTGTCAGGAAACAATTTCAATAAATACCCTTATTCAATTACGTTATGCTGCTTAAGTGAGTATGAGTATGGTCTCTAATCGCTTTACTCAGAGTTGTAATAAATTGATTACTATACCTAGGAGAAGTGATATTAAAATACGTACCACAACTTAGTATACTCCACATCTCCAATATTGCACTGCATACGGAGCCTATATTTCGTATATATTTTCTAGTACGGAGTACTTTAGTATCATCATCACAGCATCGTCTACTAAGCGAAGCCCCAAACCCTGAAAAGAACACACAACGCAACACAACGACCACCACAAACGGGCGTGTCAACAAACCATCACTGACAAAAACCTGGATAGTAAGTAACCCGCGGGGCGGGTTGGACAAATGAGCCATGGCCAGCTGTCAAGCTCCATTCCCGGTGGATGCTCTCCGGTAGGGATATCCTGGACAATGTAATTGTCTGGCCCCGTCGAAAACGGGAGGAAAAAACAAAAACAAGAAAATGAATCCTTACACAACGCACAACAAGCCTGGCTCTATCCACACCCTACTGTTGTCCCTGCAGACAACTTTCCTTCCCATGGCGTCGAGAATGTTCAAGATGAATCCATCTGTAATTCCTCTGGACTCTTGGGTCGACTCGTCGGGAACTCCGCCCACCGTCGACTGCTGACCCATGGTTGGCGTCTCGGGGAAGTTGACTGAGTCTCCATAGATAGTCCTAACGGCCTGAGCGTTGAGCCAGCCACTGTGTCTGTTTGGGTCTGCTTTGCGCAGACATGGATGATCCCGTAACTACTACTAACTACTTGACTCCTTGCTCTTACAAAATTTACACAGCCGTCATCCTGGTCTACCATGAGTGTGTAGCCGCTGTCAAGCGCTCTCCCCCAATTACTTAGCCATCCACAGCTGTCAAATATCTCGGAACACAATATTTGACTATAGTCAATTATTTTCTCGGTTAGATACCAGTTTAATTCCCCTCTCAATTCCTTTCATTCCAACACCATTCTCGCTTATCGCTTGGCTAACTAACTAGCTCTCTCACTGACTTTCCACTAACTCCAATTTAACACAATCCTCATAGTCTAGACACCTGGCCCCGTCGCCACACCCAAATCCCGCGACCACTCAATAACCAGTCGATCCGAAAAACTAGACCTCCTTCCCTTCCCCTTTTGAGGTACAAGTCTCGAAACGAACTTGCCCGTCCCACGACCCAAAGCGAACTATCATCCAATCCGTTCGTTCGATTCCCATGCACGCCGCTCAAAGTGGTCATCCTGTGGATCGCGCCATGAGCTGAGTTCCGCGATCCCTCGACCCGACGACCAGGTCCAGCAAGCGGCGCGGCACTTGGCCCATGCAGAACATCATCGTCATCGTCATCATCATCATCATCATCATCTCAGATCCGCCCTCGTCTAACCAGCTAGCTAGCTTGACCATCGCAGCGCTTCTCCTCTCGCGTCAAAAGGGGGGCGTGCACTCATTGGCGCATTCAAACCCCGGAACAAATCCCCGTGCCCACCCTGCTTGCCTTCAACACCCTCAGATCTGAAGGGACTTCCGCGAAAGTTTACCAGTTGAGATATGCTTTGGTAGCTCAGTTTTCCTGGAGTTTATTTCGCAGAGTTGGTGTGGCTAGAGACGGTCTTCTCGCCGCGATACTAAACTTCCCTGGAAGGGTCTGATTGCCACTCCCCCTCCCTTTTTCTACGATGCGATCGGTATCTAGACTAGGCAGGAGTCCTGAAGATGGCTCATCGATCGATCGCGCCAGTACTCCGTATCCTCATCGACTAATCGCGACGACGATGGTGACGATGCGCGAAGCAAGGAGGGTAACTTTCTTTCACGGTCCTCCAGCAAGCTAGCTTATCATGTCACTTACAGTAGAGCGCATACAGATAGGACTTCGTACCCGACAAATATCCGCACAAACCCCGACCTATGGTAATCCCCAATGCCTTGTCCATCTTCAGCAGCCATTGAATCCTTCGTATCGAAGCGCTGCGCCCTAAGCAGTGGGGTACACAGGCTCAACAACATGCCAGGCTTCTCTTCCAACCACGTAGACACAGCGAAGTAAACTACCTAATGATGAAACTTGAAACTTGGAAATTTGCAGACACATCGTCAAGGCGCCAATTAAGCGCCGCCACAATCACTCACCCAAGAACCTAGTAAATGTACTTAGCAAAGTACGTAGATAGACCGTCAAGCTGAAAAGCGCATATCCGGTCTGTCCATCAATTCAGGCTAAAAAGATACTCGCTATCAGCCCTCATATACTCCCGTTATCTGAGTAGTAGTACAGTACGTAAGTATATCTGTGGCAGTGCAAAACCAAAAGCCCCAGCCAGCCAGCGGCAACCGAAACAACAACAACAACAACACCAAAACTAAAAGGGTGTTCAGCTCCGCCCGCTTCTTCTTCTTCTCCCTCGGTAAGTTAGTTAGTTAGGCCAGGTTAGTCAGGTACCTGAAATTAGTGGTTGACTATTCGTTGTTCTTTGGGTTCTTCGAAGTACATACGATACGTAGGTACTGTGGAATATCTAAGAACCTCTTGGATCTCTGCTGTTATTCTCACCGCCAGTTTGGGAACCCCTCATTTTCTCCCCCATGGACAACTAAGTAAGTAACTAAGTAACTCGCTTATCTCCGTGGGTTAGTCAGGTAGTCAGTCAGTCAGTCAGTCAGTCAATGCTTGCAGCAGTAGGTAGGTAGGTAGTTAGTTAGTTAGTTACTACGTAGTAGTAGTTGTTAGTTAGCTAGTACTTGATTGTTCTAGACTTTCGGGGGTGGGTTGGTTGTCACTTGTGCATGCCGTTGATTTTGGTCTGTGGTTTTCGTAAATAGGATGGTTAGGAGTTATCGGGCTTTTTGGAGGTGGAATATATATATATTCGAATTGAACGAAATACTAGTTGAAGACAATATAACTTATGTTACTTATATACTTGAGCAAATAACGGGATATATATAAATAGATGTATATATATATATATATATATATATATATTTATCCCTCTCCATCCTCACATCAGCAGTAGTATTAAATGATAAGTATCTCATGACATGAGAATCATATTAAAGTAACGCATAACATGCTGCTACTATACACCATCACGAGTAAGCAGATACTGTAGTAGTAATTCAACCATATACCCAAAAGTAATAGAAAGTCTATAGTATTACCACGATATCATATCAGGCCTCAACAAAACAAAATCTATCTGGTCCATGAACGTGCGGGCATAACTACTACCTAGCACTGACCGTAAGTATATTTATTCACTTATAACCAGACAAATTGCCAGCTTCGAACTGCCAGCTTCGAACGCCACCATCGAACTTCCACCATCACAAATATACTTATCTCCCAAGGACACGAGCACGAGGAGCAGCCCAAGCACGAGCACGAGCAACTCAAGCACCATCGTGTGTCTACCTCACCGTCAATTCAGATCAGATAAAAAACCCAGCCCAGGACAGAAACCACGACGCCACCTCATGCAAAGCTTCATCAGGGCGCGCCTTCGCTTAACTAAGAAGTGAGTGATACCACGTAGCTGTGATCTCATAACATATAGTACTAACTACTAGTTACTACGGTAAGTAAGTAGAATCTAAAGTACTAAACAGAAAGGACCGGTACTTTCTCTTTCCCTACTACAACTAGTAGTTATTACGGTCCTTTAAATCTTGCAAATACTATCAATACCTCAATCAATATCTGCCTGCGGTGTTTGGATATATACCATACAGAAGAGTAGAGAAACAAGTAAGTACTGAGTATGATGCAAATGTTTGAAACGAAGGAATATTACTTACACATATTCAAACAAACAACAATATAAAACATTCAATCAACTACTACTAACTAATTAACCATCCCAAATGGGATATATACAACGGTGAGACAGACCTTCACAGTCATAGTTAGAAAGCACACATAGTACCATACATACATACATACATAGTAAGTACGCCTTTAACAAACCACGTAAAGATACCTAGTTTCATCGCATATAATTTACTTTACTTTACTTTACTTACTTACTATACTAGTCCCGAAACCTGATCCTATCCCTACTAGTAAGTAAGTAAGTAGGTAGGTAGGTAGGTAGTGACTTCATCATCAGCATCAGCATCAAATCACATCAGCATCGTGACACCACTGCAATAACCACAATAATAACATGACTGCATCAACGCTGCTATAAGATTGGCGGAAATGCTATCAGTCAGCAATACGCAGAGCAAAGTCCAGTTGTTTGTTCTGGTGTGTGTGTGTGGCGCTAGTACATGCATGCCATGCAATGCATCCTGCAGAGTCCGGGTTTTCTGTCTGGCAGGTGCCTGTCCTTTTTTCTACACCGCTACTATCGTTGATGGTGCTGATTCTCCTCCTCCTTTTTCTTTTCTTTTGTCGCTTTGCGCGTGGAAAAGAAAGGAACAGGGTGTGGTGGGTTTGAGGGGTAAGATGAGTTACTACTACTAAGTAGCTTAAGGAGAGGGTTGATAGTGTAGTGGTGTGAGTACGGCAGTATAGCCACTACTTGTAGATGGTTTAAATAAGTCAAAACGCCAATATATATAATACTATGTGTGTGCGTATCTTCCAGCAAGATCATACTTTTTTTAGTCACACCCTGACAGAACAGACCTCCACTTCCTATCTAGACCCAGACAGACAAAACACCTCCGAGCAATCCGGAATTGCTAATCACATCTCGTATGATTCCACGCTCGAATCGAATACCTGGTTCCGCGGTGCAATACCGACACCCCTCCCACACCCCCTTTTTTTCCTTTCAACTTTTTTAATTTTTAAACGTCCTCACTTTGCGTCCCAATCAGACGCACAGACTTGCTATGGACCCCCATGCAGCGCTCGAACAATAGCTCTGTCTATGTACGAAGTACAGACTAAGCCGAGCCTGTTCCACGGGGTACGCATGGTACGCACTCTCATAACGCAGCCCAGTGAGTCATGTCGGGGGCGAGGGATCGGCCTGAAACCAGACAGGCTACCCTTCCGGCCATCTAGGAAGCGCCATGTTCGTCATAAGCGCTAGGATTGTTGCGTAACTCCAGGCCCGTCGCTGCTGTCAAGGAGTCCGGCCTCTTTGACCAGCTCATAAAACCGGCCTTCGCGCTTGATCAGCTCCGCAGGCGTGTCGAACTCGACCACCCGGCCCTTGTCGAGCACCACGATTCGATCAGAATCGATAATGGTATTGATACGATGTGCGATAGTGATGATCGTCCGGTCTTGGAAAATGCTGCTGCGCAACGTGCGTTGCAGCAATGCGTCCGTTTCCACATCCACTGCCGCCTAAAGCTAACTGTAAGTTTGGAGGCGAAATGAAAGAAAAACGGGGGTAAAGTAATGAAACAACCAAATTGCAATGCGATTGGCCACGTACCGTTGCCTCGTCCAGCACGAGAATATTACTAGGCGTCAACAGCGCTCGCGCCAGGGAAACCAGCTGTCGCTGCCCTTGACTGAGATTGGATCCTGCCATTAACTAGGTTAATCCAGATCCTTAATGTGGTAAAAACCGCGCAGAAATGCACGAGAGAGAGGCCAAAACCAGCCACATGCTTACCTCCTTCCTGAATTTGGGCATCCAACTGACCGTCCATTTGCGCGATGTGATCTTTAAGTCGCGCATGTTCTGCAGCAATCACAGGTCAGTTAATCACGCTTAGCGTTCGTATGCAATGTAGCCCAACGTACCAAGCACGCTCCAGAGTTCGGTGTCATCATGCACATGTCGTGGGTCCAAATTATCCCGTACGGTTCCTTCAAACATGGCCGGATCTTGAGGAATGATGGCAAGGCGGCCCCGCAGGTCGAAAAGGCCAATGGTCGACACGTTCAGCCCGTCGATGCTACACACAGCGTTAGCCTTTGAACCTATTTCGCCACGATGGAATAACGTCGGGCAGCAGTCCTTACCTGATGCTGCCATTATCCGGTTCGATAATGCGGAACAGTGCCAGAGTCAGTGAACTCTTGCCTGCACCTGTGCGACCAACCACGCCGATCTTCTCGTGGGGCTTGATATCAAGATTGATATCTTTGAGCACGAGATCAAGCCCTGGGCGGTAACGTGTGCTGTAGTTGTTGAACGATACCGCGCCTTGCGCCGGCCAGCCAATAGCAGGACGATGCTTGAAAATCACCTCTGGTGCCTCGCTGGGCAGGCTTGCGTACTCTAGTACACGCTCAACCGACACGATGTTGGTCTCAACCTCGACCGTCTGGCGGACGATCCAGTTCAGGGATTGGGTAATCTGTAGAGCGTAGGACATGGCTAGACCAACCATGCCAGCAGATATCCCACTGCCGGTCGCTACGGAAACGATAGAAAGTACCGCGGAGGCCAGGATGATTACAGAGCCAATGAACTCGAGACGCACAGCAAGCCAACGGTTGGCACTGATGGATGGGAAGTATGCACGCACATTCGCATCCATTCGCCACTCGTTCTCCAGAGTAAATCGCTCTTCCTGTCTATAGGCACGAATCGTCGAAATGCCGCCCAGAGACTCCTGGAAGTGAGCATAGATAGGACTGCGCGTAACGCTGTCCAAGCGCTTCAGTTCACGCGATGTGCGGAGGTAGTACTTTTGGTAGCTGAAGTATACGTAGCTCAAGGGAATCACCAGTATGAGGAATGCCGGGGTTGAGGATGCGATAACAATCATGGTGAAAATGGCTTTGGCAGAGTTGCCGAAGAGCTATTGGCAGATGTAAGCAACAGTAGCCAATCAGAAGGGTATCTCAAACTCACCATGTTGAAGGTCCGCGCAAGCACTTCATCAATGCGATAGACGTCGCTAAGCAAGTAAAGTTAGCCTTCCTCGATCAAATCTCATATCTCAATGACACTAGGAAAAGAACTCACCTAGAGAATCGGTTGAGAATTCGGCCGGATGGTGTTGTCTCGAAGAAGCTCATGGGAGAACGGAAAATGGCGAATGCCATGCGTTCATGAAGTTTGCGGGAGGCCTGGCATATGGTTAAGCAATTGATGTAGAAGCATCTTGGGGTAAGGGAAATCCAGCATACCTCAATAGAACAGAAAATCCACAAGATCAAATTCTGAACGATGACCAGAAGGGACGATCCCAAGCCAAAGGCCAAGTAGATACCAATGTATTTGCCGACAGGCACATCTGGCTGGGCTTCGGTAACTTCAGACCAGTGCTTAAGCCAAAAACTGCCTAAGACCTGCGCAGTCTGGGCTCCCAGGAGGGCGGTTAGGTAGAAGCAAACGGCAACGATGTTACTGTTCTTAGCGTACTCGCCATAAACGCTCCACTTGACTTTGCCTTGCTGCGAGGTCTCTTGGGTCTGCTTGCTCTTCAGGACATTTTCTTCGTCCCCTAGCTTCCGCCTAGGGCCCTTCCAGCTGGCAGTGCTCGCACGTCGCAGAGTTACAGTGCTTGTTCTTCTACCACCAGCAGCCCTGATCGGAGCAAGGGCACCAATTTCTCGCTCAGCATCCTCAGGATCCGAGTCAGACTCCGCATTATCAATAACAGTGACAGATTCCGAGCTTTCAGGGCTCGCTAGGTCACGGCTATCAGTGCCAGACTCTTCGTCGTCGTCCGAGTCGTTCATTGTGGTACGAACCAGGTTCGCGACCTCACCCTTCATAGCCAGCAATTGTTCATAGGTTCCGCTCTCGATAATGGTCTTGTTGCGCAGCAAGCCGATGTAATCAGCCTCCTTCAAAACAGGAATAGCATTTGTCGCAAGGATCCTAGTCTTGGTGCTCAAAATACCGTTTTGACCAAGAACCCTGTTGATGAGATGTCTTCCCACATGTTGATCGACTGCAGAGAGCACATCATCGAGAAGGTAGATGTCGGCACGAGCATAGACAGCTCTAGCGAGGGTCAACCGAGCCTTTTGTCCTCCAGATAGTGAGATTCCTCTTTCACCAACTTCGGTTTGATCACCATCCGGCAGATTCTTGAAATCGTCCAGCAAAGCACATGCCTCGACGGTGAGGTCGTAGAATTGGGGGTCCCAGCGATGACCAAAAACGATGTTTTCACGGACGCTTGCGTTCATGACCCAGGGCGATTGGGCAACATAGGCAATGCGACCTCGTACAACAACTTCACCTTCGGTCCTCCACAAATCACCCAGCAATGACTGAAGCAAAGACGATTTACCAGCTCCGACTCTCCCAACAATGCAGCTGAGCTCACCCTTACGGGCACTGAAGCTGATGTTTTCAATCACGTGCGTGCCTTCGTACCTGTTCCACGTGAAGGAAGCATCCTGAATTCTGACAGACTCGTCACCGATATGAGAAACGGTATCCTCAATCTTGACAGCGTCGGTTTGCAATTCCTCTGCGGTGAAATAATCCGTCAGACGCTTGACAGCCACCGAGGCTTCAATGACAGCCGTGATGACCATTGGAAGGATAGAGAGCGGGAAAGTAAGCAGGTTGAAGAGCGTCAAGGCCGGAAACACCACATCGGTGGTAAGAGGCTTGTCTTGCGTCAAGGCGTAGACAGTGAAAGTGGAGCAAGAGACAAGGAAAGGGGTCGACTGCCAAGTAAAGTTTGCAATGGACTGTGTCGCACCGATTTTGCGGAGCGTGTTCAATTCCAAGTCATTACGGATGTGGCTGAGCTTGTTCATGAAGGCTGTATTCCATGCGTAAAGTTTGATACTCTTGATGTTGTTCAAAATCTCCGTCATCAATCGTGATCTTGAATCCTTGTTCTTCATCTGAACAAGCTGCAGCTTCTTCATCATCCGAGCTATCACACCGTTCAACGGAATCATGAGTAGCATCACACCAATTCCCGCGAACATGCTGTATCCGACAAGCTGATAGAGAGAGAGCATGCAGAGGGTGATCTGGAACGGCGCAGACCATAGCTGAACGCCGAACTGGGTGAGATCGGACAAGCGCTGCTGATCGACAGCCATATGATTGACAATGTCACCGGTTGTCTTCGTTGAGCGGCCCTCGCTGGAGAGTCTCAGTGACTTCGCGTAAATCAGGCCAGTCAGAGCAGACTTGACGCGCATACCGGTGTCAAAGGCTCTTTGGAAGTATTGGTGAAGACACATGGTCTGCGATACGGACACCAGAAACATGGCGAGAGCTATGGCCACACCCCGAATGACTGGCTGAGGCTCGTCGG